TGACTTCCACAGTGGTTGCACAAGATTGCATTCCCACCAGCAATGGATGAGGGTACCCGTTCTTCCACAGCCTCTCCAGCAAAGGTTATCCTTGGTGTTTTTGAGTTTAGCCATTCTGACAGGTGTAAGATGATATCTCAAAGTTGTTTTGATTTGCATTTCCCTGATTGCTAAGGAAGTTGAGCACGACCTTAAGTGTCTTTTGGCCATTTGAACTTCTTCTGTTGAGAATTCTCTGTTCAGTTCAGTGCCCCATTTTTTAATTGGGTTAATTAGCATTTTAAAGTCTAGTTTCTTGAGTTCTCTATATATTTTGGAGATCAGACCTTTGTCTGTTGCGGGGTTGGTGAAGATCTTCTCCCAGTCAGTAGGTTGCCTTTGTGTCTTAGTGACAGTGTCCTTTGCTTTACAGAAGCTTCTCAGTTTAAGTAGGTCCCATTTATTCAATGTTGCCCTTAATGTCTGTGCTTCTGGGGTTATACATAGGAAGCGATCTCCGAGACAGTGACCCACACAGGAGCACTGGACTGAGCTCCCAAGGTCCCAAGGAGGAGCAGAAGGAGGGAGAACATGAGCAAAGAATTCGGGACCACGAGGCGTGCATCCACCCACTGAGACAGAGGAGCTGATCTACGGGGAGCTCACCAAGGCCAGCTGGACTGTGACCGAAAAAGCATGGGATAAAACCGGACTCTCTGAACATGGCGAACAATGAGGGCTGATGAGACACCAAGGACAATGGCAGGGGGTTTTGATCCTACTTAATGTGCTGGCTTTGTGGGAGCCTAGCCAGTTTGGATGTTCACCTTCCTAGATATGGACGGAGAGGACCTAGGACTTAACACAGGGCAGGGAACCCAGACTGCTCTGTGGACTGGAGAGGGAGGGGGAGAGGAGTGGGGGGAGGGGGAGAAGGGTGGGAGGAGGGGGAGAAGGGTGGGAGGAGGGGGAGAAGGGTGGGAGGAGGGGAAGGGAAATGGGAGGCTGGGAGGAGGTGGAAACTTGTTTTTTGTCTATGTTTTTTTTTCTTCTTTTCGCAATAAAAAAAAAAGATGTACTAGTTAGCCAATAAGAAGTTAGAGCTAATGAGCCAAGCAGTGTTTTAATTAATACCTTTAAGAAAAGGTGGGCCTGGAGAGGTTGTTTAATGGTTAAGTTTGCTGACTAATCTGCTAAAGGACTCAGTTTATAATTCTAGCAACCCCAGTTTCAAAAACCTGAAGATTTCTTCTAGTATTTGAGGGAACTACACTGCAGTCAATGTACATGATAAATATCCCCAGGCAAAACATTCAGACTCAAAAATAATTTTGTAAAGAAAAGTTTTATGACAATGCAGTGATATGGCATGCCTTTAATCCCAGCACTCAGGAGGCAGGTGGTCCTCTGAGTTCCATGCCAACCTGGTCTACAAAGTGAGTTCCAGGATAGTCAGGACTGTTTCAACATGCTTAACAAAGTTCTATAACAGCCAGGAATGTTAACCAGTGAAACCTAGACTGTTACACAGAGAAATCTTGTACCAATAAAACAAAAAACTATGAGAAAACAATTCCATAACTCAGACTGTGTGGAAGGCAATTAGTATTCATCAGTGATATGGTAGAATCAGTGATTAGGTGTAGTGATAAGAGTGGCGGGGCTGCGTCCCCAGCACCCCGGTCGCCTGGCTAGCTTATGCCCCGAAATAACAACACACAAATTGTATTCATTTAAACACTGCTTGGCCCTTTAGCTCTAGCCCTTACTGGCTAATTCTGATATCCCGATCAACCCATCTCTAATAATCTGTGAGCACCCATTTTACCAGGAAGATTCTAGCCTACGTCCATCCTGGGTCGGAGCTTCATCGTGTGTGTCTGCCTGGGAGTAGGGCATGGCGTCTTTTCTGAGGCGTCTGCTCCCGAGAGGAGAACTGTCGAGTCTGAGCTCACTTCCTCTTCCTCCCAGCATTCTGTTCTGTTTTCTCCACCCACCTGTGTTCTAACCTATGAGGGCCAGCCAAGCAGTTTCTTTATTATTTTTTAATCAACGACCTTCCTCCATCAACATGGTTTGATAGCATCTCCAAGATTTATAGTTTTGAATGACCTTAATTTGGGCTATTCCTCTGAGGAAAATCAATTTTAAATGAAGAAATACCTTTAAATTTCTGAGTATTTATATTACGTGCTAAATACTTTTAAATTTTAGGGATGCAAACATAATAGGTGTTTCAGATACATCACTATGTAATAAAGTAAGATATATAAAGCAATCAATGGAAAAAACAAATTATTTGGTCAGATTAGGAATAACCATACAGAAACTATATTAATCACAACATTTGAATACAAAAAATGGATTGTGAATGTTTGTCTTTAATGTGTTGGCTACAAGTTATTACTGGTAATGGTCAGGGAAAAAATAAAGGAGATTAGATTCAAGGTTCTTGTTTTGAAAGAAAAAAGGGGGAGGAAATAGATACAATAGGATAAAAGTGTGGATTATTGAATCTACTCTAACTGAAAGCTGAAACAAACCTTTCTTTCCAACTGATCATGGTATTTTATCAGAGCAATGGAAACCTAACTGGATCACATAGCAAGGGCTTTACCAACAAGCTGGCTTGGTTTCTGAGAACATTGTTTCAAGTTCACTGCCTACTTGGATGATTGAAAACAAGATTGCCATGGGGCACAAGGAGCAGCAATCAAAATTCTGCCTAAGCACTTGTCAGCAAAGGGGGCTTAGGGTCTGTGTTTTGTTCCACCAGGCAGATTCACTTAGAATGGTTTATGCACCTTCATATATTTTATTTCACCCATACAGAGGCATAGATGCTTTATTCGTTCACTTTACAGATATTAAAATTGATTGGTCTCCTGTGGGAAAAAAAAGAAAAAAGGGAAGATATAGATAGGATCTTGTTTTGAAAAGAGCAAAAGGCTGGGTGATGGTGGCACAGGCCTTTAATCCCAGTACTTGAGAGGCCTTTCCAGAGCTTGGTAAGAGAGATTGCCCAGGATTTCAAGACTGACTTGAGGTTTTAGAACGCAGCCATTGGTGCCCTTCAGGAGGCTAATGAAGCTTTCCTGGTTGGCTTGTTTGAAGATACCAAATTGTGTGCCATCCATGCCAAGAGAGTCACTATCATGCCCAAACACATTCAGTTGGCTCACCAGATACGGGCGGGGGGGGGAGCATTTACATTACGGCAGTTTTTATGGCACTTTGTAGTAAATAATGAGCTGTTGGACTCTAGCGTCTAAACACCGAGAAGGAGTCACCCCCAGAGACCATCTCACACACCACAGCCGATGCAAAAGCATGAGGATTTTATTAATTCTGTCATGACAGGGTCCCCCAGCATTCGGGAAGCCGAGGTACCCCGAATAGCGGGTACAGTCTACTTTTAAAGGGGCCACAGAAGCAAGGGGGGGTTGTTCTTTGACTATTCTGATTGGCTTATTTGAAAGAACTATTACCAATAATTGACTGGAGAGCTGTTGCCAGATCAGATGAGGTAAGAGGTCATTTTGACCCCGTTTCCCAGGGGACCGAACCAAAGCATACGTATATGGGTAATTGTTTAGGAACTGAGTACTTGTAAGTGTAGCTGTTAGGTCCTTGGTTCCCAGGGGAGGAGGGGAAGCACTATGGCACAGAGGCTGAGAGGATTCAGAATTGTCAAAAATGGTTTCAGGATTGTCTTAAAGTCTTACAGAGCCTGTGTTAATAGATCTAACAGTTTATAATTAATATAAGCCTCATGTGTTTCTTTTTGACTGAATGGTTGCAGGACCCAGTGGGACAGAAATTCGATCTACAAATTCAATCTCAGAGCCAGGAAGTGTTGGCTCACACCTTTAATCCCAGTATTTGGGAGTCACACACCTTTAATCCCAGCATTAAGGAGGTGGAGTCAGGATGGGATAAGGTGGGGCAGAGAGAGTGTATTTAAGACTGGATATCATTGCATTCAGGGTGAGAATTTGTGGAACTGTGTTCTTCCCCACTTCGGTCTGCGAATTCAGAAGGTAAAGGGTCTCTCTAGTGGCTAGGTTCTTTACTTCTCTGCTGTTTCAGCATTTGCTCCAATATCTGACTCTGGCTTTTTATTATTAATACTAATTAAAACTCTTATTATACACACATGGTTGCGTTGTATTGAGTCACTGCAAGTATTTGGATTGTGGAGCAGTATAAAGTCTGGTGTTTGAGCACCCTTCTCAGCCTGAGTCACTCAGTAGCCAAGGAGTCCTGGCTTTCACAGTGGTCTTTCCTGCAACCATGAGAGACAGTAGGAAATTTTCCTGTTCAAAATTTGAAGCTTGGTAAATTCCTACAGTAACAAATGAAAATGCCAAAGAAATTTTCAGCAGACAACTTAGAAGTGGAGCAAACTCTGGTTAGCAGTCTCTAGCTTTGTTAACACAATGACTAATTTAAATTTTTTGTAAAAGTTTATAAGAAAAAGTTTATTTCCTCTAGCAAGAGCAAACCCTCAAAACCTCTTAAAATAACATCAGTCACTAAGGGACAAGTGCTCAAATATCAGAGCCTATTGTGTACAGACTCATTAAAACCAAAAAAATGCAGATTCCAAACTCAAAACTTTCTCTATATTGCTTTTGTTTTAACATAGGCATCTAGCTGAAAAAATTATAAGTTCAGTCTAATAAGCTGGGGGCTCTGTACATATGGAATTTCTTCGAAGCCAAATAAAATATGGTTAGCTTTTCAGAGTCTCATATGGTAATATCTGAGGGTCCATGGTTAAGCTGTCTGCATCTCAGGTTCTCAAGCAGTGCTGAGGCTAGTGCACAAACTTTGTCTTTTTTAACTCCTTATCTCTCACACACACATTACTGCCATGTAGGAAACATAGTCAGTCTTCGTAGAGGGATGAGTAACACAGCTAGTGAATGAAGCTATTGGATGTTTCCCACTGACAGAATTTCATGATTTGTTTTCTAACCTCTAGAGAGAAGCAGAATCCCAAGAAGGGTCCAGCACTGATGGATCCCAACACACTCTCAATTGAAGAAGGAAAGAAGATCTTAAGGCAGTTTGGGATCCCTCAGGGAGATGTGAGTATCTGCGACATTGGGTAAAGAAAAGGTACATGGAGTGAAGTGGAGAGGAATGTATGATCCACTTGAAGCAACTTCATATCATATGGCCTGGGGATTATTGATACTAAGTATTTATAAATTGTTTTCTTGGGAACACAGCACTTGATAAATAAGCTACAAATTTAGGGGATAAAAGAGGCAAGACACCTGCAACAGTGCTCAGTTCCTCAAGGGAACATTTCCACTCCCTCAAAACTCACTTTTTACTCTCCCTTATCAAGTGAAATTTACTTTCAAAGTTCCAGTCATCTGTGGTAAAAGGGATTTCAGACTGATGGTCCTGAAGATAGAAGGAACAGGGAATCTGTTTATCTCTTCCATGAAAGACTGATTCCCTACCATGTAATACTAAGTAACTTTCTCTTTTGGTCCTCAGATTGATATGATGACAGAAAAATGGGAAGTTGTTGCCTCTGTGGAGGTTTTGTTTAAATACCCTCTGCTACCTGGAGAGGACCCAACAGCCCGCTGTGTCTCTAATAAAAAGAGTCAGCCTGCAGCATACCAACCAAATTCAGCCCCACAAAAACGAGGAGACCAAGGAGAAAGGTAGGAACTGACTTGATTTGGGTATATCTGTGGGCCATATGTTTAACCTTATATGCCTTATTGATGATAGATTTTGTTTTCTTATGTCATAGATTAAACTAGGGCATTTTGTATTAGGAAATACTCTAAGCCTGAGCAACATCCTGACACAGGCCAAAATTATCTTTACTTAATTTTGAGACTGTTACTAAATTTATCTATCTCTACAGTCAAGAAAGGCCTCAGCCTTGAAATTATATTGTTGCAGTCTCTAATAGATGGGATTACAGGTCTGTACCATCTGGCATATCTTCATACGTGCACAGATTTGTGAATTAAATGGCATGAACTTTCATGGCCCATTAGCTTGCATCGTCATCTCAGCTTGGTTTGCCAGGAGTGGGCTTGTGAGCAAGTCATTATTAAAATAGGTATATGGCTGGGCGATGGTGGCTCACGCCTTTAATCCCAGTACTCGGGAGGCAGAGGCAGGTGGAACTCTGTGAGTTCGAGACCAGCCTGGTCTACAGAGCTAGTTCCAGGACAGGCTCCAAAGCCACAGAGAAACCCTGTCTCGAAAAACCGAAAAAATAAAATAAAATAGGTATATGAACATGAGTTACTGATTGGGAAGTGTAGCTGAATTTATTGGGTAAACATCATAACTTTACAATTCCTGGTGAGAGTCTATTGTTAATTTTGTACATAAAAACCAAATAGAAGATAATTTTCAGGAAATATGCTGAAAATGTTAAAATGTTGTTATATTTTTATTTATTTGAGAAATAATCTTAGCAATATCTATTTAGAAAGTGAAATGGTGGTATATAGATTTAACCCTAGTTTATAGGAATCAGAACAAGATGGATTTAGGTCCTTCTTGGCTGCAAACCTAAATTAGAGGTGAGTTGGACCTAAATGCAACCTAGTCTAAAAATTAACAGGGTCTAGAGAAATGATTAAGTGGTTAAAAGCACAGGCAGCTCTTGTAGAGTGCCTGGGTTTGCTTTACTGACATCATAGAGTCTCACAAGCACTTGTAATTCCTCTTCCAGGAGAATCAGACACCCACTTCTGGTCTCTTTAGGCAATAGGCAAAAACATGTTGCAAAATCACAGGGGGAGTCAATACACTTAAAATTACATTAAAAAATAAACTCTTAAAACTAAAAGTAAAAAGTAAATTAGAAAGAATATGAAGCAGGAAATAAATAAAAGCATTAAGTTGCTGAGGAAATCTTGGAAATTTTCAGAAGCCAGGGTTCTTTTATCCAATCCTACATATCTCATTTCAGTCTTGATAAGCCAGGTGGTGTTTCCTCAGAAAGCTACCAGTTCTCTAGGCATGAGGTCTAGGGAGAAGGTAAAAGCATGGAACATAAGCTCTGAGTTTTCCACTGGTATGTGACTCTGGTCAGCAAATCTTTCTCTCTCTGCCTCCTAAGATAGGGACAGAAAATGCCTATCAGCAAAACTTCTTTTTTTCTTACTAGGAAGTGCAATAATCAATTAATGACCAACGTTGTCAAGAAGCCAAGTGTCATGAAGCAGATAGCAAGTAATTGCCTACAACCTCCTTCTCAGAGACCCAATGGTGACAAGACACAGAAGAAAAAATGTTATAAAGCAATGAGTCCAAGAAATCCCCCAAAAGAGGAGGAAGAAACAAAGGTCAGGATACCTGAAACTTCTGAGAACTGGGATTCTATGTGTACTCTAGGAAGTGGATTTAACCATGGGGACTGGGTTTCTGTAACTCACGTTCTTTTATACAAGACCATCTAATCTGAGTAATCCTCTGTCAAATTACCAGCTCACTGAGAGGATCTGAGGAGCCACCTTGTACACATGCACTGGTATGAGCAGCCTGGTATTTGCCCAATTCTCCATTTTCAGTTGATTGAATCACATATATTTGGGTATCCACTCATTGCAAACTTAGCTTGGAATTTAGCACATACATGCTAAGCAATGTGTGTTGCTTAGGTACCACCTAGAATTTACTGGCATATTCCTGGGCTGAATTCTACCACAAAACCATTTCATCATTGGAGGATTTTATCTATGTGATCTACACAAGCTGTATCTGCAGCCTTCATTATGCTTTTTACTTTTAGACCACATGTCAACAGTTTTCCAAAGGTTATTTGGAACTATCTGTATAGACAAGGTTTTTTTTTTTTTTGAACTCGTGTTCCTCCTCCTATATCATCCTGAGTTTTGGGTTCAAAGTTCTGAGTCACACTACTTTATGCACTGTAATCCTTTGGACACAAATTTCTTTATCTCTGTAGAACTCTGTAAAGTGGGCCAGGTGAATGACTGTAGGATCCTGTGTTTCTTGGCAGATAATGGACCATGGCTCTAGAGTTTATCCTACAAGATAGGTTGAGTCTCACCTAAAAATAATTCTGTGCGACTTTGATACTTATGTGGGATTGGAACTTACTCTGTGTTCATTCCAATATCCACACAGGTAAAATGCAAGAATTGTGGAGCCTTTGGACACAAAGCAAGGAGCAGGCTGTGTCCCATGAAACGTTGGCAAGAAGCCCTCCCTGTCCAACCTCTGGGCTCAAACAAGGAGAAGGAGAATCTAAAAACAAGTAATGCCCAGTTGTGCCAGACTCCAGGGATGTTTAAAATGACTGAGAGAGAGAAGAAAGAAGAACAAAGGTAAGCATGGGGTGATCCAGAATGATCCATGAACATGGGAATTTGAGTACATTGTATGCAGCCATCTCAGAACACAGCCAAAAAAAGCCTGAATTTTCAACAGACAACAATGTACTCAACTCATTTATGGTTAAGAATCACCAAAGAAGACGGAGAGGGAGAGCTGGGGATGCTACCCACATAGACAGAACAGCAACAGAGTCCAATGAATTCATGCAGTCTTAGGCTGGGTTCTTTATCAGTGCCTAGTGTACTTGTCAACCATGTATACTTTTCTGGGTTCTATCTCCACAACCATATCAACACGTTGGTGAAAGCCTAGAAATCCAGCAGAGAGGAGGTGGATAACAGTGGATGAGAAGCTCATGGTCTTCCTCAGTTGTCTTATTATTTAGAGACTAGCCTGAGTTACAGGATACCCTGTTTGAATTTAATATAAAGACACATGCAATACTAATGCCTCTCTCTCTCTCTCTCTCTCTCTCTCTCTCTCTCTCTCTCTCTCTCTCTCTGTGTGTGTGTGTGTGTGTGTGTGTGTGTGTGTGTGTGTAAGGTTTCAGGTGTGTTTCCAGATTCTGAGGTAAAACATGATTCTAGATCACATCAGAAAATATCACTGTGGCTTCAATGCCTCCTCACCCCATACAAAGGCTGGAATTAATTTTTCAAGATAGTGATTGATTTTACTATTTTGAACACAGAGGTCCTACTAATTCCAACACTTAATGTAATGTGCTCTACAGGCAAGAAGTGGTTTCAAAGAAAACTGTGTCACAGAGATTTCCCAGAAGCTCTCTAAAGAAGAGTTGCTCAGAAGAACCAAAGGAATCTTGTTTCCTTGTGAGGGTAAGTCTCCCTTGCTTTCCAGTTGTGTAGTGACTCCCATGTATGCTGCTCTGTTGGATTCCTGTTGTGGGTATTATAGGAAAACCTAGGCAAGCTTATTGCACTTCTATATAAGCTTCTGCTTTCCTGTTCTTCTTATTTACTTTAGTATTTATCTCATTTTCTTCTTCCCTTTAGTTTCCTTCCCCTCGGTTATTTCTCTTTCATTTCCTTTCATCTTCTTATACCCTCTGATTTTTATGTTCCCTTCTTTTTCCTTATCTTTATCCTTTCTGTTACCATTATCAGCTCCCTATTCTTCTTCACTTACCCTTAATTCTTCCATCTTTCCAATCTTTTTGCTTTCTGGAAACAGGGACTTATTTAGCCTATGCTCTTTGGCTAAGGTTGGCTTTCATTTAAGATTCTTCTAGCCTAGTCTCCCACATACCGAGATTTCAGGTCTATAAAGCCATTCCTTGTTGTGGGAGCTGCAGGCTGCGTTCCTGCCACCCAGCTCCTGGCCGCCTGGCTAGCTTATACCCCGAAATAATAACACACAAACTGTATTCATTTAAACAGTGCCTGGACCATTATATCTAGCCTCTTCTTTGCTAATTCTCACATCTTGATTAACCCTTTCTATTATGTGTGTAGCACCACGAAGTGGTGACTTACCAGGAAGAGTCTAGCCTACATCCATCTTGGATCAGAACTTCATCGCATCTGCCCTGGAGAGGAGTGGCTTGGTGTTTGCCTAACCTCGCTTCTTCCCAGCATTCTGTTCTGTTTACTCCATCCACCTATGATCTAACCTATCAGGCCAAGCAGTTTCTTTATTAATTAACCAATGAAATCAAAAGATTGATATATGACACTCCCACATCAATTCCTAGTGTGTTTTTATTTGTTTTCCAGAAGGCATGTAACTCAGTATTGTCTGGAAATTGATATCATCCTCCTTTGCTCCTACATATTCTTAGATCACAGGTTTGAAACACCATATATGGCTTTGTATAGCTTTATTTGAATATGTAGTTCCATTTTTGTTCTGGCCAACAAACATTGTGGCAGATTTCACCTCATGCTGAATGATCCTCCACCAGGCTGGTGTCTTTCATTTTTCTCCAGAATCTTCCAATCTGCCGATGAAGGGATGCATGTCAGCCAAAATGAGTGCAACTGAGGGTGTGCTTTGTTCATTTGTTCTAAACCAGAGAACTTGATGGCACTCCCTTCTTAATTGATAGACTCAGAGTGACATCTCCTAGATAAAAATCTCACTCTAATATCAAGTTGTGTTTTAATTTTTAGATTAATTTCATTTACTATGCATGAATGTTTTGCCTATAGCTATATATGTATGTGTGCATATACCTAGTGTCAGAGGTCAGAACAACATATTGTATTTCAAAGAAAAAAACTGAAGTTACAGACCTATGTGAGTCACTTGATGGATCCAGGGAACTAATTAATGCAATAAGTGTTCTTATCTACTTCGCTATATCCTGAGTCCCAGGTTGATATTGTGTTTTCACAAGTCTTCTGGTCAAGAAATATTGTGGGCATTTAAGGGGCTTTTTTTTATGTTTATCCCTGTGGATTATAAATCAGTGCCCTAACTCTTTTTGTTTGTATAGCCAAGGTTTTGCTAGGTTTAGGAAGAATGTTTGTCTTTTGTTCATTTTTCTTTCCTATCCATTCATCCAGACCTGCTTGTTACATTTAGTTCTGTATTGTCCTTAGGACAGTGTCTTGAATATTACTATTACATGTTCCCTTATATAACCTGTATCCTAAATAAATATCCCCCCATCAATTATCTCCCTGGTCCTCATATTATTTTGTAATGATCCTTCCCATGCATAAGTAAGTTGTGTAACTTACTTATGTACTCCACATAATTTCTATGTAGATAAGTTGAATTAGCCAGCTCTTTACATAGGTGGGTAACTTTGACTTCAAGGTAGGTAATCTTCATTTTTTTCTCCACAGAAACCTACCAGACCAATGCTTAAAATAATCAAGAAGAAAACTTCATTGGGTCCTGTCTCCACGGGTCCCATGCCAGTCAAGACACCTGATATGAGAGCAACCCCCTCCTCGTATTCTTACAACAAAGCACCAGAACTGAGAACTTATAGATCAGTAGAATCACATGATATGGGCTTCTCAGACACTCAAAAGCCCAATTTGAGGAACTTCCAGGATTCTGATCCTAGCTCCAAGAAAATATCCCCTGGGTCTGTTGTTTCCTTGAAGTGTGCTCTTCAACCTGACACAAAAACACCTCTTTTGATCCAAGACACTAAAGTCCAGAGAGGTATGAAGCATCCTCATATGGAATCACAGCCCAGTGTACAATCTATGAGACCAAAGAGTGGACAGGAGCCCAAAGGCAGCATCCAGCATCCAAGAAAGAAACCTCGAATCAGCTCTAGTCTGAATCCCACACTGACATCTCAAGTACCTGAGTGGGAAACTGCACAGGTTTCTCAAATTTCTCTCACAACAAATGGATGTCATGTCCAACAGTCACCAAAGATAAACCCAAACAAACAAGCATTGAAGGCCAGTGTCCACAGACAGACTCTGCACTGCGCTTCTTATTCAAGTCCTACCAAAGACACAACTGTCTGCCAATACACACATTCAGGCAAATGCAAAATACCTATTAGCTTGAAAACAGACAAAGAACAGCCAGGCTTTGGGACCAAATTGTTCCTCATGTCTAAATCTCCTACAAAGACTGAATCTGTTTCTCAGAGCAACCTTAATTTAAAGGACTCTTTTATCCTTGGCTCTAATGCCACAAGGAGTGTCCTGTATGAGGACCTCCTACTCTCATCCTCCTCAGAAGACAGTGATGAGTAGCATCGCATTTTCTTTAAGACATAAGATTTAGCTGTAAGCTGAAGTGACAGTAGAACTGGGCAGAAGAGGTGAAAACAATCATGTTCTGAAACTGGAGCAGCCCCAAATAATATTGGGAGAAAGACACTGAGTACTTATATATGTATATATTTGAGATGAAGACAATATTGACCTGATCAAGACACTGATTTGAAGTCGCCAAAACCAAGCAAGTGTGGAACTTCACTTCCATCCTCCAAGACCCTGAAGATTCTCTGGCTATGATGTTCTTTATAAACCTTTCCACTGAACCATTCCCTCTGTAAGCATAAATCTTCCAGCCAAAATCTGCAGTCTTGTTCAACAATTAAGTCTCTACCTACTTATTCCTTTTGAGTAATGCTGTTTATGTGTGCTGTTGGGAGCACATTCTGCTCCTTCAGCCAATATCAGCCCACTTGGGTGTGGTCTCTTATAGTTTAAAAAGCAGAAGGAACCATGCATCCATTCTCTTACTTCTGGATCATTTTTCAGCTGCTAGACTCTGTTCCTGTTTGCGCTCAGAGGACTATTGATTAGGACAATGACCTGTGAGTTTTTCCTTTTAAATAAACAACCCTTTTAGGATCCTAATTCTGAACTGGTGTGGGATTGTTTTACGACATCAATTGGCACCCAAAATTTGGTTTTAGAATCCCCCAGCTCTGCTGCTCACTGCCAAATTGGAGTGTGCCCAGCTTGGCATGAGCCCTCCCTCAGCAGACAGTGGCCTGTGCGTGGAGCCAGCAGTTCAATATAGAATCTCACACTGTGGCCTTTCTTGCTATGGATCAGCTGCAATTCTTTATATTTTCTCTTTACACACCTCGGTTTGACTTCAAGTCCCCATACACCCCATACATACTGTTTTCCTCCTGCCAGGGCTCACCGCAGATGTGAGCTTCACTGGTCTGAGCCACCTATTCTGCTTCTTTATAACTATTTGTTTGCACTTGCCTATTCCATTGCTCTAGAGACATCCACAGAGCAGACAGTCTGCAATTTATCTTTCACCATTTTCCTCTAAACTCAGATTTCAGACCAGCCACAGGTAAATTCATATGCATTGCTATGCCCCTCTGGGTTAACTCTGTAAGTGGCCTATGACATGTACTGGTAGGTTACAGTTATTGCACCTAATCCAGCTAATTAAACCACAGGTAAGATTTAATATCCTAATTATAGATAAAAAGTTGCTAATTTAAAAAGACAATTATGTCAGACAATCTAACCATCCAAGGTTTCAATAGCCTCTTTACTTACACCATGTGCGAGTTTTTACAAGACTTCTATGATGTCCCTTCTACATCACTATTTTTGTTTCCAGGGTTTAGTCTTGTACTCAATGGTTGCTTTTTGTAAAAATATGGTTTAACAATGAGGCTAAGAATGAAGCATTTTAGAAATGGTACAGTCTTTTCAGACTGAAACCACACTTCTCAGGAAAGAGGTTAAAAATCTGAAGAAGAATACAACCAATTTAACTAACAAAACTCGGTCAACTGAGATGCTTTTTGGAAATGGTACAGACTGATAGTAATTTATTTAAAGGAAGATTTGGCACTCTGGAGAAGAAAACAGCCGATTTGGCACATAAAACCCAATCAATGAAAGTGGGTGCTGAAACAGTATTTGAGAGAATTTGCACTGTTAAGTATTTATAGGACTCTGTCAAAGGGGTAGGACAGATTGACTGATAGAATGCCTCTCCAGAAAGGTAATACGCATGCTATAAAGATTATGTTCAAGGATGAGACATTATCTCTACTGGACAGACTTCATACCTTGGAATCCCCAATGAGAGCATTAGAGCAGAACACTGGACAGTAGATACAGATGTTATAAACAGATTTGAAAAGATTGAGGGAATTATCGAATTTGATGTCCAGGAACAAAAGATAAAAAAGGCAAAATTTAACCTCATTGGTACAAACAAATCTCCAGGAAAGTTTCCCTGGAGGTCTGCCTCTCTTTCCAGTAGTAACATCAGAAAAAGTATCTGGCTCCAAGTACCCTAAGGTTGTCAAGGAATATAAATGAGAGCCCATAGGTATGACTGATCTAAAAGAAATTAAACAAGCAATTGTAGCTTAAGGACTACATTCATCCTTTGTTAGGAAAATGGTCAAAATGTGGGCTTTCAGTAGCAAAGCCACACCTCAAGATTGGGCTCAGTTAATGTCAGCAGTCCTAAAAAGTGGACTGCAATTGATTGGAGGTGCCTTTTAAAAGAGGAAGCAAGACTTTTAGAGCAACAAAAAAAAAGGACTTGAGAATTCCCTAGATCAAATTCTAGGTGAAAGGCTTTACTCTGATACTCAAGATCAAGCTCTTTATGATGACTACACCTTGCCCTATATACCACAGCAGCTTTAAAGGCTTGGGACAGGATTCAGAAACCAAGAATTAGAATTGAATCTTATCTTAGGGTTAAACAGGATCAGAGAGAACCTAATTATTTTGTTTCCAAGGAAGATGAGAATTTATTAATTCCTCTCAGGCTAATGTGGTTTAATGGATCAAGAATTCCTCCCTCCACCAAAAAGTTACTGCAAACACTCACAAAAATTACTCCACCCAACAAAGAGCAAAAAGCAGTTTTGAGAGAACTTTACCCAAATTCTCAAATATTGCTTATAAACATTTGCTTACATTTAAATAGGGATATGCTATAGAGATTAACATTGGTATGGATCTAGGTTTATTACAAATTTAAGGCCAACTTTGTTATATGTATATTTCTGCTCTTGATTAGGGTATTGTGTTTGTGTAGCTCATTTAAAAATCTAATTAAAAATACAGGCTAATAGATAGTAATCTACAATAGTCAAACTTATCATCGTCTTAGTTAGGTTTTCTAGTTATATAAAAAATATATTTCAATTAAATAGGTATTCTTCAGATATTTTAAAGACTGAAGAATATGGTATTTAAAACATTTTAAAAACTTGGGACTTTTATGAAAATGAGACACATCTGCACCTGGAATTACCAGTTTACTTCAAGAGGATGATGGACATTGAAGAGGCTCCTCATGGAGTTTGTTAGCCATTTGGGCAAAAAACTGCTCTTGCCTAAACTGCTTGACTGAACTTACAGGACCCATAGAAAAATGACTGCTAATGTTATCTAAAGAAGGTAAGACAGTTCTTTGGGGTTCTTGCAGGACACAGAAAAAAGTGACTGACAAACTGCCAATATAGGTGGAACAGTCTTTAAATTTTCCTACTTCATGAAAAAGTCTGCTAAATACTAGGGGACAATAGGCTAAAGATGGGTGCACACAACATTACAACAAAACTTTGGGTGACTGTCCAGGAAGTGAGATATCTCTGTCAATTCTAGAACTTTGGAAGTTGCTTACAGTGCAATTCCTGTTTACTTAGGTAATATTATATTTAAAGACTTCTAGAGTATTTAAAGGAGCTAAGGAACAGTTATAATTAGTTTTCATTAGTTATGATAAAATATAAAGTAGATATAAATATTGTAACTGTAATTCTTGCAGCAGAAATCTGTCATGCTTTGTTCAAACTGGAATGCCACAGCACTTCTGTATCACAGACAACATGAGAGACACAATTAGGAATCTGTTTTTGCCTTCATTTATATCTTCTAGAACCCTTTTTCTTACATTTTCTCAGGGCTTACATGGAAATTCCTGATCCATGTTGGGCACCAAATGTAGACGGAATCTATTCGGCATCCTTCCCAGTCATAGTTGCTTATAAAATAATTGCTCAAAGGCTTGATATTAATCATAACTTTTGATCAATGATTCATGCTTATTTCTAGATAGTCTTACATTTAATTTCACCCATTTCTATTAATCTGTGTATCACCCACTTGGACCATGACTTTCCAGAAATGTTCTGGCATCTTACTCCTCCGGTGGTTACTGGCACGTCTCTAAACTCTGCCTTATTTCTCCTTGTATTCAATTTGTCTTTCCCATCTAGCTATAGTCTGTCCTGAAATAGGGCAATGAAGATTTATCCATCAAGCAATAAAAGCAAAAAATATTTGCAGCATACACAAGAACATGCCATATCTCATTACTATTCTCAAAATAGTCTTAAATTGTTTGGGACTTAGTGACAAGCCAGAACCTGTTTTCCAAGATCTGAGCACAGATTCTCTTTACTGATACTCAACATTAGATTAAAAAGAATTGCTAAAAAGGAACATGAAGCTCACTGTCACTAGATACATCATACTAACCCAGCCTTTTACCATGTCAGCTTTCTCAAATAGTCTACCTAACTTACTTGTTCATCTTTATAAGCCCTCTTTTGGGCTCTCATGTTACAAGATTATGCTAAGGTATTCCTTGTAAAATTACAGTGGACTGCAGATATCAGGTACCCAATAATTTCTACTGTGAAAGAAGAAAGTTTCTGTGATAAGAGAAATAGCTCTTCATCTTCATCACCTGGACAACTGTTACAGTGGTCAGTGAAAGATGCTGGCATGATGTGTAGGTATTGGAGACAGTTGAGCTTGGAGACATAAGGAATATACTTGATGGGACAATTCTACTCCTTTCTTTCTTAATATGGTATGCCTATTCACTTTGTTGGTATATGCAATGGTAAAGGTGTCCTTGGAGGAATGTATTAGGAAGACTTTTTAAACCATTTTTCACTGGCTGAGGAAAGGTACAATAAATCCCAGTGTATACAGAATCAATCTTATATTCATTTCAATCACCCCGATATGCTGTGGCATGAAAACTTTCAAGAGGTTCCTGATTATGTCAGTGTACAATACTCAAATATGCTTCTTTAACAGTATACTTGCGAGGAATATCTTCTATCTACTTCAAGACTATTTTCTATTGATTCAGTTGTAATTTGAAGCACATTTCAATGATCACATTTAAATGATGATTCAGTATGTACCTAAAAAGACTTTTCATTATTTCTTCTCACAGAGAGTCTGTATAGAGCATTCTCCACCTTCTTTGATCCAGATCATAGAAA